ACCCTTGAGTGAGACACACTTGTCTGCTCCCATTTGCTTTTTTTTTTTTTTTGAGTTGGAGTCTCAACTCTGTCGCCCAGACTGGAGTGCAGTGGCCGCTCCCAGCTACGGCAGCCTTGACCTGCTGGACTTTGGTGATCCTTCCGCCTCAGCCTTTAATTTTTTTTTCTGGAACTACAGGCGCGCGCTACCACGCCCGGCTAATTTTTTGATTTATTGTAGAGATGAGGTCTAGCCAAGTTGCCCAGACGGGTTTTGAACCCGCGGGCTTAGGCAATCCACTCACCTCGGCCTCCCAAAGCGCTGGGATTATAGCTGAACCACCGAGACTGGTCCCCATGGCCTGTTTCATAGCAAAGCCTCAGTGGCTCAAGACCTTCACTTTCACCTCCCACTTGGCTATGGTTTTCAGATTCCTTGTACCCATGCTCTGCCCACCACGGCCTGCCACTCTCCTCCTTCTACTCTCCCGCAACAGTAAATACCTCTCAAGTGAGAAGCCCTCTGGGCAACTGGGCTCACACTCCTTTATGCTGGACAGGCACCTCCAGGGGCTGGTGAGGTAGCTCTCCTGTCTCTCCTCTCCAAGGCTCAATAAAGAGTGAGAGTCTGAGGCAATCCTCCTCCTGCCACACCAGGTTCCCCCATCTCTAAGTTAAAGCTCCGATGACTATTTCTTTTTTTTTTTTGAGTTGGAGTCTCACTCTGTCGCCAGACTGGAGTGCAGTGGCCACTCCGGGCCACCGCAGCCTCAACCTGCTGGGCTCCGGCGGGCGATCCTTCCGCCTCAGCCTTCCGAGTAGCCGGAATTACAGGCATGTGCTACCACGCCCAGCTGATTTTTGATTTATTGTAGAGATGAGGTCTCACTGCCCAGGCGGGTCTCGAACCCGTGGGCTCAGGCAATCCACTCACTTCAGCCTCCCAAAGCGCGGGATTACAGGCTGAGCCACCGAGCCCGGCTGTCCGATGACTTTCAATTATGATTCCTGATCGTACACAGAATGGGTTCTGAAGGCTGGCTTTGATTAGTCAACTATTCCATTTCTCTGCCTCCAAGGAAGAACTGTTTTATTAATTCTACATTCATTAACTTATTCATACCCTTACCTTTTCTAGCAATCTTTTGGGAAAATAAAGACAAGTCTTCTTCCTAATAAGCCAGCCCAGGACTGCTCTGAACATTGCGTTGCCTGAGGTGGCATGGCATCTCTGTGTCCACGAATCATTCATGCCAAGCTTCCCACCAAAAAATGGCTTTTAAGTACTTCCAAATCTCCTCTAGACCTGCTCCCTAATCTCATCTTGGCTCTGTACCCTCTTTCTTCTGGAATGCCCACCTTTAGGTGTTGCTCTGAAGTTCTATGAATGGTGGGCTGGACAGCTTGTTGGGTATCCAGCTGGGGAATCAAAGCTCTTAGAGTTGGTCAGACAAGGTTATGAAGTATCATCTGCTTATCACCTCCTTACTCCCGCTTCGCAGAAGAGCTGGGCTTCAAACCCACACCTGCTGACTCAGCTCTGCTTCAAGTTCCTTTGTACTCTACCATGATACCTCAGTAACCATAAGCAATATTTGATTCTCATCTGCCTGCTCCCTTCTGGTATCCACTAAGAATTGAGCACCCAGTGCTTACCACAGGAAGATAAAATGTCAGTTCTCAAGATATAAACTTTTGAGTCTTCTGCAACTAGAAGGAAAAAAGTTTTCAAAATTACTTTCAACTTCCTGAAGCATTAGGATAATTTCACTGCAGAATTTTATATTTAGGATCACATGAATTATACAGAGAGCCATGGGCTGGTGGACAGCTTCCAAATACTAGAAATTACATTTCCCTCCCTTTTGATAATTAGTTCAAGGTCTTCACCACAAGTGACATCATGTCTCAGAAGCAAAAATAGGTCCCTATTAAGACTCTGTAATGTCTTCTATCTAGCAGATCCTGTTCCCTCTTTATGCCCTGGTCTCCTCAACCTCCTAATTGGCTCTCCAACCTCAAAGCTTTTTCTTGTTGCTGTCTGGAGCCTTAGATATATTAGATATGGTCTGACTGTGTGGGGTTAGGAACTTGGGTATGCTGATTGCATTTGTCTACGCTTAGAAACCCAAGGGACCCAGGGTTCTGGAAAATAGGCTAAAGTAAGCATTAATAGTAATACCCTTCTTATACATGGAACAGGTCATTTGGAGTTTAGGCACATCTAAGTAAAAAAATAGTCTACATTTTCTGTTAAACCCAATTGGGGCAAGAGAAAAACAGCCTCCTTACAGAGCATTCAGTTCAATGTGCTAATGTCATATGTGTTATACCACATTATGTCAGTTAATACTGAAAAGAACTATTTCAAAGTTTCCCATCTAACACGTGAGGAAAGTGAGGTTGACAGGATAAGAAACTTGGCAAAGGGCCACGTTGGGATTCTAGCTGCCCTTCTGTGGTCTCCTACACGGACAATCTTGAACTTAATGGTACCATGACCGAGGGACATTTGGGCACTAGTGGCGATCATGGCATATAATTTATTACCCACTGCCAGTTTCATACCTAGAATTCAGAAATGAAAGAAACGATGATGAGATTGAAATCTTTATCCCTTTCAGACATAAGGACATGATATCTTTATCTTCTACTATATAGGGCAAAAATTTTAAAAATGTACTTCATTCCATATCCAAAAAGATAAAAGTCATGGATTTCAGACTTTTTTTTAGTGGTTCATTGTATCTCTCCTACAACTGAGGGAAACACTAATAAAAAATCATCTTTTATTAAAAGAGGAAAAAATTATCTTTTGGGGTTTGGGGGGTTTATTAAAATGGAGGAAAAGGAATTACAGAAGCTTTGGCTTTAGATCCATCACCCCTTCAACAAGTGTGTACTTAATCCTTTAGATTTAACTATTATTTACTAAAAACAAATCTCAAGGGAGGCAGTCTGTTCTTTTGGGGAAAACATTTGAATGAATGAGAATCAAGAGAGCTGGTTCTAGTTCCCACAATTCTATTAAGTAGGTATTTGATGCTCCCAGCAGTGGACAAAAATTGCACTGGAATGAAATCCACCATCTCAAAACAAGGTGATTACTAGCTCTGAAATTCTAAGGGCCAGTGAGTCATGCATTCATCAGTGCCAAAAATAATATAAAGATTACTCCCAAACAAAACCTCTATTCTTTTAGCTAGGTGTCCATTTGATTAATGTGACTTATATGAATGAGGGATGGATCAACAAATCTAATCCTCTTAAAGTATTTGGAAACAAACAAACAAAATTCCAACTAATGGAAATTGCCAAAGCACGAGAACTCGTCTAGACCCATCGTTGTTTTGTTTTTTGAGTAGAAGTCTCACTCTGTCGCCCAGGCTGAAGTGCAGCGGCATGGTCATGGTTACCGCAGCCTCGACCTCCTGGGCTCAGGTAATTCTTCCGCCTCAGCCTTCCAAGTAGCTGGAACCACAAGCACGCACCACCACACCTGGCTGATCTTTTTTATTGATTGTAGCAACAAGTTACCCAGGCTGGTGTCGAACCCATGGGCTCAGGCAGTCCTCTCGCTTCCGCCTCCCAAAGTGTTGGGATAACAGCATGAGCCACTGCACCCGGTTTAGTTTGTCTTCTACTGTGGCAGCTGATCTTCAGAGATGGCTTCCAGTGAACCATGCCTCTCAGTACTCCTATCTTTTTGTAGACCTTTCTGTGTGGAACCTGAACTGGTTATGCAACTTGCTTATACTAAAGGAATGCAGCAGCTATAAGTCTTGGTAGCTTCTACTTTTGTGTTTTGGGAGCCCCAAACTGCCATTGCTCTCAATGTCCCACACTAAATATATCAGAATTCAGTATGTCCAATACAGGCCCAAATGCTCCATTTCTAATGCTATCCTTTGTCCTTACTGAAATGTGTATAAATTAGGGTAAGACAAAAAGCTCTATTGTGGGCTATAGATACTTTGACTAAAAGAAGCTTCTGTGTCACTACTATTTTGAATTCTCCCTTTGTTTGTAATTCTGGAGGATGCCTAATAGCTGAAAGGTATGCCTTTCTTTTGTAGAATGGGCAGTTGTCTGAATGGGAGGTGGGACCCTCCACAGGTGAGTCCTCAGACCTGGCAGTCTTAGAGCAGAATTCCTATGGAAGTTGACTTCCTTCCTTGGAAGGGTGTGTATCAGGGGTGTGTACCTGCTGTGACGAGCAGCTTTTGGCCTTTCCTTTGTCTTAATACACTCCTGGGTTCCTCTTTCTAGCACTCTGCACTTTAAAAAAACCTTTATTTTAAAGATGTAGGGTTACAATTCAGGGTTAGATACACAAATGTTCATTATGCAGGTACCCTTGTTGATAAGGTGTGCCCCTCCCTCCCCTGGCATTTTCCCTCAGCTGCCAATCCCACCCTCACTCCATACTCTCTAGGCACCTATTTTCTTTTCCCTCAACTGCCCCTCAGCTGGCCCTGATACAGTGTCAACTCAGTAAGACCCTTTTTGGGGAGTTTTTCTATCAAAAATGAAGCAAGGGGATGAAGATGCAGCAATTAGTATTTTAGGGGAGATGTCCCAACCCCAGGGTTTTTCAATGACACTGCTAAGATATCTGCTATAATCACAATTGACGGCTGAGTGGTCTCTCTTGCCTCAGGTAGGTAAACAGTGAGAACTTGACCATCTCCATCTCCAGAGTGAGTTTCACACCTAAAAGGCACAAAGTATTCCAAAGGGAGGCAATACCATCTTTCCAGGGAGAATTCAGAAAGGAGATATGTGATATGCTCCATGTCTACTAGCAGAAAACATGGTCCAACTCTTCTTTTGTAAAATGGGTTCAATCATACCTACTTGAGTATTTTTCTGATTATGAAAGGAGCTTGTCTGACTTACAGTAGCCAGTCAACCTTCTACCCACATTCCATTTGTGTGTCGGTTTCTATGTGATCTGAACTGTTAAGACTTAGTTTATGTTTCTCAAGTCTCTAAGAGTTAAGAACAAGGTTACCCAAATCCTGAGAGGTAAAAATTTATTGATTTCTATCGTATCAGCATGTTATGATATGGCCACACCTATTCATACAGCTGACTTCTTCTTAGAGCCAAAAGAGAATTTTTTTTCCTCTTAAAAATACCTTTTTTTTTACAGCAGGAAGAAGCATTTTAAAAACAAGCATTTCATATTAAGTGGGAATTAAAAACAATGCCCCCCCCCAACTCATGAGGAATAGGGCTGGTCAGCAATAGATCTCTGAGTACTTCAAATCTGTTTAGGGGTCTCTGTCCCCAACAGTTCTTTGTCTTCCACAGAAAGTACTTCCAGGGGAAAAAGAAATTAGAACCTCACTAAAATAGCAGCCCAAATATACACAGAAAAAGAAGAGGTAGACAACTGCAATTATTTAACTCATTTTCATCGGGATCAAATATGTTCTACAAATATCTAAACAAGTGATGTTTCAAATGCTAACAAAATCTTAAGAAATGTCTACACCACAGCTTACTTAGCTTTGAGAAATGGAAGCATAGAACCAACTTTAGAAATATGCAAACTTCAGGAAAGGTTTGCTTTTGTCAAGCTCTTCAAAATCAAAAGCTCACTCTGTAGGACTGATGTTAATGTTTTTCTCACCCTGTAAAGCCTCTGCAGGGTCAGTAATAAGAATTTCCTGAGATCAGCGAGTAGATCAACTATGAGAGGCTTATTCAACATTAATAGTTAAAAGAAACACAGACACAATTAAGATGGGGCAGTGGTGTGCTGGATATAGCTCCTACTGGCTCCACAGAGCTAATAGTTACATTTTATAATTTTGCCAGCAGTTGTTAAGCAATTGTTATCAAAATTAAATTACATAAACTTAAAATTAGTGTTGAGGCTAAAAGCGGTTTCAGTTTAATGAGTATACTTCGTCGAAGGGTAAGAAATAGTTTAATCGTAGATCACGTTTCAGACTGAATGACAATAGATTTACTGGGAAGTGAGTTAGTAGATTAGGATGTAATGCCATTTTCAAATTACGGTTGAAATGCAGTCAACCATAAATTGACTATAAGAGTTTAGCAAGAAGTAATTAAGTATCCTGTGAGAATCAACTGGGCTATATGGGATCTACAACAAATTATTTATATCATTATCATTTGTTAATTATGTCATACATCCTTGCTATCAGCAAAATTTATAACAAACTTATATACACTTGAATACATAATTTTCTTCCCCAGGAGAGTGGACTGTTAACCATTTACCAGCACACCACTAGATGGGAAGAATGGAGAGAAGGGGGGAAATATTTTTGAACCAAAGAAAGAAGTCTAACTTTTTTTTTCACTTGGATTTTCAGTTTGCCTTCAGCATCCAACTGCCATGGTATGCTTTCAGTACTTGTCTACAGACATTAATGCCCAAATAGCTCCAAAAAAACACAAACACCTCATCCCCACAACTAAGAATTAAAAGCACTGTACTTGGAAAAAATCAACTTTATTTTTTTCTAGGTTTAAAAAAAAATAGAACCAGCTATTAATTTTTGTTGAGAAAATGCTTCTTTTGGTGTTCACATCTAAATTTCTGAAAAGGTGATCTGGTTACTAAAATCATCCCAAATGCATTCATAAACCAGATCCACATGTGACCAGCCCTTTACAAAAATTAATTACAGTTGCCACAGCCTTTTACATTCATCTTATCACACGTTACAACATGCAGATAACACAAAGAAAGAAAAGTCAACAAGCTGAAGTAAACATTACAGCATCAGGAAAATGAAAATCCATCTGTATAAAATAAATACAATTTTGTAATAACTGTAAAGAAAATGAAAGCACTTAATAAAAATAATGGCAGTTAAATGTATAACTGTCTCATTACCCAATCATAAAATAAATTACTGTTAAATGCATAGACTCCTTACATGTAAAGAATTTGTGCATCACAGTCATGTGTTTAACAGTTTTATACAATAAAAATAAAGCCATTCAAGATATGTGTGCACACTTTGCAACTAGAATACACATACATTTTTTTGCTCTTTAAACTGTCTTAAAAAAATATTAAATGTAAAAATCCTCAGATGGAAATTTTGCAGAAAAATCCATATTTTGTCTTCCATATGGCTACAGTCACCCTCCCCCAACAGTTTAGCACCCTCAGCTTATTCTCAGGGTCCAGTTCCTAATTGTTGGGGATTGATGCAAAATAATTACAATAAAGCACCAACCAATGACTGCTCCAGAGAATACCTGGCCCCTTTGGGATCTAGAAATTTCCAACTTAGGTGGTTTTGGTCCCAAACATAGTAGTCTCTACCTTTCCTGCTGCCCAGTGCTGTTTTTGACTTTGCCCTTCATGTTGACAGATGTAAGGCTCACAGCACTGCAGGGCAAAACAATACCACAGATCATTTTTATCCATCCTTTGTGGACCAGAGCTGAATGCACTCACAATGGTAACTCTGGAGTAAAGTCCTGTGTAAAGACTCCAAAAGAACAAAGAAAACAATTAACTCTTCCTATTCAGTAGTGCAAATAAAACATTTTCATCTTAAATATAAAAGGAATCCAAGAAGACTACTCATGATTAAAGACTACTTTCTATGACTATAACCAGGTCCAACTAGTTCAGAAGAGTCTTCAGGAAAATGATTGTCAAAAAAACATTACCAAGACAAATCCACAAGAAGGAAGCAACATGAGCAAGGAGTGAAGAGGTGTTCTTACATCAATCCAAAAAACAGCAATGCTAGTATGATGTTCTGAAGTTCGCATTTGGTGACTCAAGATTTTATTTTCACAAGACATGAGAGTACTGCCAATGCTGCCAACTCTTGATTATTCAGGGATGCCTTTTCTAGCCCATAGATTATTCAGGTTTTTGTATACCCTCTTCCTGACAGCTGTCTATTTTTCCACATTATTTCACTATTGTTAACATAGTCATAAACACATAGGAAAAATAAGCTATAAAAAACTGAAATCAGTTTTTAATTAGTAAGCATTCGGAAGGAAAGTTTGATGAAAATAAAAATTCAAACTCCTAAATAAAATTAGGTTTTTGGCTTATTACTGAATTAACCAGTAATTAACAATCAATCATCCAGTAATCCCTACTTCCTTTACTGTGGAAAATTAAGGATCAGCTGTAATATTAAAAATGAATAATATGACCGATCTGAACTCATAACTTTTAAAAAATCAACTGTTCAGATTCTCAACTAATTTGCCCACTTAAAACGTCCTTTTCCACTCCATATTCAAGTAATTTTTCTTTGTTTTCCACTGCTTATAGATTCCTATACCATATATGTATATTTCAACACCAACAATTGTTTTTGAAGAGTGAACCGCTGGCTTGGTCACTTTTGTGGCACTACACCTCTGTGGCCAAGCAGATGCTCCATCGCTATGACTTGTTGATACCAGGATTCCAGCAATGAGTTTCAACTCTGCTGCTGTGAGAATCCAGGCAGTCCAGCCAAGACCCAGAAGTGCAGAGATTCCAGAAGCTAGTGGTATAAAACTGGCACAGTTTTATTTTCTTTCCTCTTGACAAAAAATATATTCTTTAAACCTCCTTTCATCTCACTTCACAAAGAAAGTACAAATCAGGAATTTTTATTCAGTTCTGTATAGTAGCATACTGCTGCTTCCTCAGATTGCCATATAAGAACACTGATTCTCTCTTTTACATTCTCTAGTGCAAGCAGGAGAACTCCAGTTACTGATGAGGAAAGCACTATCAATGCTCTCAAACAAACATATTTTGCAAACAGAAGAGAGAGAACATGTTGATAAAGAATCAAAGAGGGACAGGGCAGATCAAATACATACCTATTTACAACTCACAGATCTATTTTCAAAAATTAACTCACACATCTATTGGTATTTGTCACTCTAGAGACTGTGGAAATGACACTGCACTTGAAAAGTAAAGCATCTTACAGGATAGTTTTTGTAATGTGTACAGTATATTTAACAACATCATGTTCCTTTGGAGCACAGTGATGGCAAAAGTGGCCCTAAGCCATATTTAAATATGTATTTTTTTTTTTTGGATAGGAGAACTGGCCACTCTACCCTGTGGCTTGCTATAGCAATGAGGAAAAAGTCTATTAGCTAGGACTGTGTATGCTTATCCTTGACAGTGAGCAGCTTTTCCCCCAGATGGCTGACTAATCTCTCAAATGAACAATTCCAATTCATCTTGTAATTTGGTAGTGTTTGCTGGGCCTCAAACAGAAGCATTGTTGAGCTTCTCTTTGGCTTCCTATCATCATCCATACCTCTAAATTCAGATTGGTTTCATTTATTGACTGTCACTGTAGAACACATGTGAAATGCTTATATTTCAAGAAAACAGCATTTATAACAACCATTACTAAACCAAACACACTAACACTGTCTTCTGCATTTTAGCAGTAGTAGTATAATATTCAATGAGGTATTTCAGTTAACATGTCATTTTCTTTCACATATGCACTGAGTTATCCTAAATACGAAGCTGCTGTGGGCTTTTATTTGGTGTTGCTTTACCTTTCCCACATAACTGGGGGAAAATTCACATATTTTCAGTTTTTTTTTTTGGTTTATTTAAAAGTAGAAAATAGCCTTTATTTTTGTTTTATAGTCTATTTCTCAGAATTGTTATTTGTGTGATTAGTGACAACAGGGTAATCTATAATAATAATCATATCACAGAAAACTATCACTGACTTACTAGGATCTTAATGGTTTTACAATCCCATGCCAGAAAACATACTCTGTCTTACACTAATGCAGTGCCAGCACTTTTTGAGAAGAGTATGGTTTCTCCTGTGAGGTAAACCACATGAACATAGTGACAAAATTTAAAAAGTGTTTTCTGGAAATAGAAACATGACTTTATCTTCTTCAAATGCAATTGGAAGAGATTGGTAAGCCTTTTGTGGTCTCTCTCCTGGCTACACCTACCCTGATAGGGGTAGCTCCTTGAAGTGATGATAGAATACACTATTATCTGCACAGGTTCTGGGGTTGCCATGTGAGAACCTGTCACCATTCTAAGTCACTATCTCTTATTTTTCTAATAAACTAACTTACTTCCCCTTAAATTGATCATTTAAATGTTTGATACTAATTTGTCCCAACCATCCCCAAATGCATTCAGTGCTAATGTCAAAATGGAAAAAATAAAAGCCTCTGAGCTACAACAGAGGCATCATGTCACGGTGATGCCCAAGGCAGGGTGGTCTGGAGAGCCTCAGCAGGCACATAAACATGCAGACAGGATAGCCTCTAGAGAATGCTCACATTTGTTTTCAGGCTATACCGCTAACCCTCTGCTATATCCGCATCTGATAAAAGTGCATTATGTAAAATGCAATTATCGATCTATGATATGCCTTTCATACAAAATGAGAAATCAGGTAAGGAAAAGCATGAGTGCATGTAAACATGGTGTTGGACTAAGCTAACCTTTGTAAAGAACACATTCCAGCATCAGAATGGGTCCAAAGGACACTGCTTTTCCCATGCAGAGAATGCCAACAATGTACCTCAGCTACTTGTTGAGGACTGGAGTTTGTTACTGCAAATGACAAGGAACAGTTCTTCAGAAGGTGCCAGCCAGCTCCCCTCAAGGTTTTTAGTAACATGGCACGAGTTGGTGGAATTGAGGGCCTAGAGTACTGCCCTAATACAGACTACTAGCTAAGAGGGATAAATATAACTTTCTGAGCTTGAACTAAATTATCAAGTAAATCTGGTGGCAACAGAATTTCTCTCAGATAGTCTTCTAGGATAATTTTATGATTTCCTCTTCTCCAAATGTGATGTTTGCTTAAATATGTACTAGAGTGTATCTTTTTAAAACATGAAGAGTTCTTAAAATATATTAGCAGGTCATTATATTACTAATTCTCATTTTAGTAGAGTTTTAAAATATCCCAAAGGGGGATAAATATTAATCCATCCACTGAATTTCTTTTGCTTTTCATATATTCTGATTTGCACATGTAAAATAATGCACACTTATGAAAGAAAGTCTGAACTCCTATGGTGACCTTGACAAGTCCAAGTCAGTTCCTAAAACAGGCAATGGTAAAAATACTGAATGATGTTATACCACATATAGCCTGACAAAAATGCAAAAGACTGTATGAGAAATATCCACATGTTGCTGAGTGTCATCTCCCTGGAAACAGCTTCCTTATTGCCCTTGGAAGGTGGAAAAGCTCCTAAAAGACAAGAGAAAAAATATTAATTTGTTTTGCTATAGTGGTAGATCTCCTAGATTAAAAGCTGGGTATTAGTTTAACTAGAGTTGCGTGTGTGTGTGTGTGTGTGTGTGTGTGTGTGTGTGTGTGTGTTTTAAGCATCTTCCTTGACTTTACACTGCTCTAGAAGAGAGATCTCATTTGAAATACTACTTCCAAGCTGTTGTGTGTGTGTGTGTGTGTGTGTGTGTGTGTGTGTTAAGCATCTTCCTTGACTTTACACTGCTCTAGAAGAGAGATCTCATTTGAAATACTACTTCCAAGCTGCCTAGTCCTTTCCTGTCTCTGAGCCTTTGGCTTTTGCCATTATACACTGCCTGGAATGCTCTCCTTTTCCATCTTAGTGACTGGCTGGCTCCTTTGCATTCTTTCCATATCAGACCCTAGTTACTTTCTCTTACCTCCATGTTTATTTCCTTCCTGGCAATTTCCCCAATCTGTAATGGTCCCAATCAATCTATCTGTCTACAGATTTGTTGCTGTCACCCAGTGGAATATAATCTGCATAAATTTGCATGAAAGCAGGTACATTAGCTGCCTTGTTTCTCACTGGATCCCTATAGATTTCTACAGTCGTTGGGACACGGAATGTGTGACAATGACATTAAATAATTTCTGAAATAGTGTAACTTATACTAATTACTTTATTTACAAGTTAAGTGTTTTTTGGACACAAAAAGGGGTTGTATAACACTGATACTATTTTCAAAATGCAATATGCTTTATGAAATATATCTTAATAAAAAGAAACACAAAGTAGACAGATGTTTTCAAATCTGTTTCTGGAAAGGAAAGCTAGATTACTTCAGAGCAATATTACCTAAGGTCATCTTGATAACACTCTTCAGCATTTCAAACAGTCTTTGTCCTTGCTGGTAATCCCCCAGGGTAAGCTGATTCATGAGGGGATTTGCTTCTCACAAGCAATTTACAGAGTGCACTTTTAAGTTTCAAGATCGAATATGCAAACAGCCTTCCTTAAAAAAGGCTTCCATTATCACTGCTACAATATGCAACTATTTAGAGGATATTGTGTACCTGTTTCATAAAAATGTGATAAGAGATCCTCTTTTTCAATAAATCGTTGATAGAGCCACTTGGTAAGGTCATCAGTCTCCAAGGGTACATCTTTAATTGGAAAGAGCCTATTAAAAGTTAGAAAAGAGGCAAAAACTACTTTAATTCATAAGTCAAAATCATTCAGAACCACAACTTATGATGAAAAGTTGAATAAAATCATGTTATCCCCCTTTGCTTTTGCAAGCGTTGGTTTCTTCAGCTTCTCAGGCAGCTTGGCTTTTAAAAATTGGTAATTACACAATAAACTTCATTTACACATTCATTCAAATTTGGATGATTCTATTATGTTAGGTCTAGGGCTAAATGCTGAAAACAATCTTTTAAATTATCTTGTATTGATAAGTAACTACTGGTAATAACTATGGCTTCCCATGTTTGTAGGTTTAAGTAGAAACAGTATTTAGAACAGATGAGGTTTTTGTTTGTTTTTTTGAGACAGGGTCTCCCTCTGTTGCCCAGGCTGCAGTACAGTGGTGCCATCATAGCTCACTGCAGCCTCAAATTCCTGGGTTCAAGCAATCCTTTTGCTTCAGCCTCCTGAGTAGCTGGAACTACAGGAACATGCCACCATGCCTGGCTCATTTTTTAAGATAATTTTTTGTAGAGATGGGGTATTGCTATGTTGTCCAGGCTATTTTTGAACTCCTGGCTTCAAAACTCAAAGTGCTGGGATTACAGGTACCAGCCACCATGGCAGGTCTATTCTTTTTCTTTATCAAAGGTATAAAGGCACATAGTTTAAAAAGTCAGCAAGAGGTCTGTTTGTATGACAAATGGCAGTCCTATCCCACTTCCCTTCATTTCTTCCTACCCAGAGGAATCCATTTTCACTTCTTGACTATCTTGATATTTATCACCATGTTTCTTCTTCAGTTTTAGGCTTTATCTACTGACTTCCTACTACGGAATAAGAGGATTAAGCTCTTTCTTCTTCTTATTCCCATCACACATGCACATTCTTCCCATCTTCCCAATATAGTTGCACAGTAATTTCCGTTAGCTCAATATTAGGCATTTGTATTATTCTAATCATGTAAATATATTCATAGCTAAGCCATGGAGTAAACTGTGGCTACTTTTCCTTTCTTGCCCAAGTTTAATTTTCCCTAGATTGAGCAATTGTATTATTTTCCATTTGCTTAATTTTCTATGTACATATAACAAATTTAACCACAAGCTCCCCGTCAGTTGTCTAGGATCAATTCTCTAGATCAGGTCTGCAAGTTTTTTCTTAAAGGGCCAGAGAGAATATATGCTACATTTTGCAAGTGTGAATGAAAATAAATAGAATTTACGCTGCTGGAACCTCCAAAACACCTTAAGCATGAAGAAAAATGTGACCTTGATCTGAGTCATGTAGCATGTAGTTGCAATTTCTGCTTCTTAGATTACAGATAAACTGTTTTCTTCACTCTGTAGATAACTAGAGGACACCAGAGACCAGACCTCCTCCCCTTTTAATGATCAATCTCTGTTATGGATTAACTGCCTTCTTTATTATCCAATACCTAACTTAGACAAGATGGTGCAAAAGACCCCATGACTCTTCTTACATCATGGTGTGGAATGTTAAATATACCTTTCCTCAAAGAAAAAGACCACCCTGACTAATCAGATGGTTGGTTGTAACTATGCATTAAGCCTTCTATACAAAGACGTTGAAATTCTGTAAGCTTTCCTAAACCTTGTCTATATAAATGACCCCAAACTTCTATACTTTATAACACTGACTTACATTTTTTGGAGTCTGTGCTTCCTGAGCAGTTGTCCTCAAACTTGGTGCTTGAATGAACTCCATATTTACCCATATTTCTGGAATCTTATTGTTTAAGTTTGACACAGCCTATATTGTCCCTGTCACAACTACTCAATTCTGCTTTGTAGTATGAAAGCAGTCAGAGACATCAAATACATATGCATAGCTGTGTACAAATAAACTTTATTTAAAAACAGGCAGTGGGCCAGTCTGACCATGGTCTAGATATTTTCCTAAGGCATTCCCTTGCATCACAGTCTTTCAATTTCACCTTCCTAAAGAAATTTCACCCCCCAGACTATGGATTTGTTGCCTGTAGTTTTCATTCTGGGAAGTCCCTTCACTACTGTCCTGGTGATTTCCTGTACTTATAAAGTGAATATAATGTTTCCTATACCTCATGTCTTCCTTTTTCTCTAACTACTCATTTGATGGAACACGTTCTTCAGTTGTTTGAGAAAAAGGCACTTGAAATCTTGGATGTCTGCCCATGTGTTTTTTCTGTCTTCAAATTTGGTTGATAATTTGGCTAGATTACAGGATTTAGGGCTAGAAATCACTTTCTTCCACCTCTATCTTTTTGTCCTCCTTTCTGAGAGATTTCTTACTTAACTTCTAAACTTTTTACTGAGATTTTAATTTTAATTTTTAATTTTAATTTTTTTTGAGTTGGAGTCTCACACTCTGTTGCCCAGACTGGAGTGCAGTGGCCATTCGCGGCCACCGCAGCCTTGACCTGCTGGGCTCCGGCGATCCTTCCGCCTCAGCCTTCCAAGTAGCCAGAATTACAGGCATGCGCTACCACGCCCGGATGATTTTTTGATTTATTGTAGAGATGAGGTCTCGCTGCCCAGGTGGGTCTCGAACCTGCGGGCTCAGGCAATCCACTCACCTCAGCCTCCCAAAGGCGCGGGATTACATGCTGAGCCACCGAGCCCGGCTAAATATTTTCCCTTTTTATAAATCAATAATCGTTCATACTCAAGTATTTTTAATTTTTAAGAGTTCTTTTATTGTTCTGAGTGTTCCTTTTTATAGTAGACTATTACTGTTTTATTGTTACAATATCTTATTTTTACAAGAGCTTTTAAAAATTATAATGAAAAAATTTAAACATTCACAAAAGAGAAAAGGGTTAATGACTACAATGTTCTATAAAAGATTTTTGGAAGCAGTTATTTCCTTGTATAGTCTCTATTCATCCATGTCACCTGTTTTTTTTTGAGTCAGTGTCTCACTCTGTTGCTCAGGCTGGAGTGCAGTGGTATGCTCACAGCCACTGCGGTCTCGACCTGCTGGGCTCAGGTGATTCTTCCACTTCAGTCTTCCAAGTAGCTGGAACTACTGGCACGCCCCACCGCATCCAGCTAATTTTTTTATTTAATGTAGAGACGAGGTTTTGCCAAGTTTCTTAGGCTGGTTTCGAATCCCTGGGTTCAAGCAATCCTCTTGCCTCCACCTCCCAAAGTGCTGGGATTACAGGCGTGAGCCACCGTACCTGGCTCATCCATTATCACCTTACTTATGTTTATTTTAATATTTATTTTTCAGAGTTCAGATTGGTTAGATTACGAGTTATTAGGTAATTCTTTGCTCACACTTACAGATGTGGGACAAAACAGCAGTGAAAGCTCTCAGCATGTGAGTGGAGTTGACTGTTGGCCTCACTGAGGATTATCTGGCTGGGATATTTACATTGGTTTTCCCTTCCCCAGAGAAAGATCTCCTAACTTCCTTGTTAAAGAGTAAAGGGGGAATCTCAGCAGTCAGTATACTAACATCACTTCACCATGCTGTTTTCATCACAGAACCTCTGCCTCAGTCACACCTCCTGTCAGAGAGCCCCTATTTTTTTTTTTTTTTTTTGAGTCAGAGTCTCACTCTGTCTCCCAGGCTGTAACACTGGCCACTGCAGCCTCAACCTGCTGGACTCAGGTGCCTTCCAAGTAACTGGAACCACAGGCATGCGCCGCTATGCCCAGTTGATTTTTTAATTTATTGTAGAGATGAGGTCTCACACCATGTTGTTCAGGCTGGTCTGAACCCCTAGGCTCAGGCAATCCTCTTGCCTCTGCCTCCCAAAGTGCTGGGATTACAGGCATAAGTCACCATACCTGATGAGAGCCCCTGTTTCCCTCTTCCTAGCAGGGAAAGAATAATCTCCCAACTGTGCAGTGTGGCGCTTGGAGGACTGGAGTTCTTAAACAGATTTCAGCTAGTCTTCCCAAGGGTACTGATACTGCCAGCCTTTAAGAAGTTCTATGGTATAAGGTTGGCTCTTGACTTTCTCATAGCTGACTTAGGGTTCTTTTATGTTATTTACTGTTTCTTCTATTTCCCAACTTCCCAAGTTGTGTTGTCATTGTTTTTCATATTGTTTTCCTCATCCTTGTGGATTTACACCTTAAGAAAACCATTTAGTTTTATTTACTGGGGTTTTAGGAGAACACAAAAATAGACATGGAATCCAATCTACCATCTCTTCTGAAAAATTGTCCTCTTATTTCTAGAAGGTCTAAGATGATTTTCTATGTTTGGCCAGGGTCTAAATCTTCCCATTCTTCAAAGTGGTCTAAGTTGCTATATCAGGTTTAGGCAAAATATATGCCAGTTACTTAGTAAGGATTTGAAAATTATAATGATGCATATCATCAAAAAAGGACTAAATAATTCTATATTATACTCAGTAAAACACAATGTGCAGACCAGTCAAATAAATACAAGGGATTCTAAAATAATAAGAATGAATATAGTCAAACTCCTTCAAACACTTTCTTAAAATTGCACGAGTCGGGCTCGGTGGCTCAGCCTATAATCCCAGCACTTTGGGAGGCTGAGGTGAGTGGATTGCCTGAGCCCACGGGTTCGAGACCCACCCGGGGAACTTGGCGAGACATCATCTCTACAATAAATAAAAAATTAGCCAGGCGTGTTAGCGCGCGCCTGTAGTTCTGGCTACTTGGAAGGCTGAGGCGAAAGGATAGCTGGAGCCCATTAGGTCGAGGCTGTGGTGGCTGGGAGTGTGCCACTGCCCTCCAGCCTGGGAGCCAGAGTGAGATTCCAACTAAAAAAAATTGCACATGAAGTATGGTCATTTGAAAAAATATCAGAGAGGAACATTACTTATGAATCACATTATAATCAGATCCCTTTCTAAGGTTTTGGTATCAATTTTATGCTGGCCTCATAAAACAAGCTAGGAAGTATCCTTTCTTTTTCTGTGCTATGAAAGAGTTGTACCTAATGTCCTTTAATTCTCTTTTGTTTTTTTTAAGTGACAGGGTGTTGCTATGGTGCCCAGGCTGGCCT